GTAGGGGGATTCACACACAGGGACGGACCGGGGGGTCTGGGCTGGGGGCGAGCGGCTGACTGCGGGTGGGGTGGTCTTTGAGGGCGCGGGGGGGGCGTCCAGAAGGGCCTACCTTCGAGCGGTGCAAGGCAGGCTCGGCCCACCTTCAGGCGTTGAAGGCGGGGGCTGGGCGCTCAGGGTCGAAAGCAGGCGACGGCCAGAAGCTCTTGGGATGCAGGTGGCCGGGGGAGGTCCTTCTCCTCTTCTCCCCCTCGTCCTCCTCCTCCTCCTCCTCCTGCTCCTGTGGTTTACTCTGCTGGGTCCAGAGCTGAGCGAAATGCCATTCCGATTTCGACTTCGGTTCAGGCGTGACTTCTTCGCTCCCGACGCCAGTCCGAGGGCCGTGCGGGATTCCGATTTGGTCCGATCTGCTGCGCGTGTTTCCGATTCCGTCGGATCCTATATTTGGCTGACCCGATTCCGAATTTTCGATTCGATTGAGCCTGACCTGGTGCGTCAGACGCTGTGTGAGGTTGGCACCGGGTGACTTGTTTTCTTCTACAAAAACGATGTTTTGCAGCGAGTGCTGCGCGTGTGGCCGTGTGGGCGTTTCTTTTTCACAATGGTCATGGAGCCGTCTGGGGTCGCATGAAAAACCGAGACTTTTGTGGCGCGTTCCTCCCAGTGACAGTGCGCCATTGCTTCGTAAGCATGGGTTGGGGGTGCTATCGAAAGCCTGGTTGCTTTGTGGCCTCTTTTTCTGTCGGCGCGGGCGTTTCCTCGCAAGTGTTTGCCTGGAGTCGAGTGGTCTCGTTTCAAGAACAGCGGGACTGCGTAACGCATCGCCTGCCAATGCCAGCTGGCGCTTGCTTTCGAATCCTGGCTCGGCGCGGTCTCCAAAACAGCGGCGTTTTGTAGCGTCTCCACTGCATGTGTCCATGTCATCGTTTCCCTTTGAAGCGCAAGGTGAGTGAATCGCTGGGTGATTCGCCGCCCGTCGAATCACGCGCCAGGTGAGTTCGACCATATGAGTTCGGCGCCAAGTGAGTTCCGAAGCGAAGCTGATGAATTTGAAATCGGGTGGCGTAGGCACTCGGTGACCGGTGTAAGCAATGCGCTTGTCTCTCTCTCTCTCTCTCTCTCCCTCTCTCCTTCTTCCTCCTCCGTTTTCTTCCTTTAGCTCGCATCGCCGTCGTCGTCGTCGTCGCCGCCGCCGTATCCGCTTTGCGTCTTCGGCACGTCTTGCGCGCTTCCCCGAAAATGACGATGAGGACGAGGAGGAGGAGGAGCACAGGGACGAGGAGGAGGATTACAAGGAGGATGGGGGAGGAGGAAGAGGACGAGGAGGAATAATAGAGGAGGAGGAGGAGGAGGAGAGGGAAAAAGAGGAGGCGGAGAGAAGGATTGAGCAGGGACCGACCGTCCCGGCATTCCTATAGACCTGCCACGACATGTTCTTAGAACCCAGAAATGTTTTCATTGGAAAACAATGTTCTTAGAACATACACCGATGTGTTCAAACAAGACAGACTCCGCCAGAAATGTTCTAAGAACATTTCGTGGAAACCACTAAAGGTTCTTAAAACATTCTTTGGTGGGGCTTTAGGCGAACCAGGACGCTTCGCCACTGCTTGAAGGGAGGAGGAGGAGGAGGAGGCGGAGGAGGAGGAGCCAGAGGAAGAGAGGAAAAGAAGGAGGAGGAGGACGAGGTGGAGGAGGGAGGGAGGGAGGGAGGGAGGGAGGGAGGGAGGAGGAGGAGGAGGAGGAGGAGGAGGAGGAGGAGGAGGAGGAGGAGGAAGAGGACGACGACGAAGAGGCAGACGAGGAGAAGAAGGAGGGGGAACACGAGGAGGAGGAGGACGCCGAAATTGTTGGTCCTGACGTGGCTTAGGCGCCAAGTGAATCAAGCGCCAAATGAGGCAGGCGCTGGGTGACTCAAGCGCTGCATTGGTGAATGAAACGCCGAATGATTTTGACACCCGGAGACTGAGACGCCCGGTGCGTCAGAAGCCAGGTGCGATAGACGCCGGCGGGTGGTTCAAGCGCTGCACGGGTGAGCTATAGGCGCCGGGCGAATGAAGGCTGGGTGACTGACAACTAATGAAGCGCCGGGCGAATGAGGCGCAGGGTGCATGAGGTGCCGGGTGAGCTGGGCACTGGATGAATTAAGCACGGGGTTAATGGGGCACCGGGTGATACGAGCAACAAGTGAATTACACACTGGTTGAATTAGCGACCGGATGATTTAGCGACTAGGGTAGTTAGGCACCAGGTGACTTATAGGGACCGGGTGAGTAAGTGAGACACCGGGTGAAACAAGCACTGAGTGAGTTAGGCGCCGGGTGGGCTTGGCACTGGATGAGTTAAGCGCATTGGTTTGGGTACAGGGTGAATTCAGTGCCTGGTGAGTCAAGCACCCGATGAGTTCGACAGCGCTTGAGTGAAGGCTGGGTGAATTAAGCACCAGGTGAGTTAGGCGCCGGGGGAATGAAGGCCAGGTGAGATACACCGGGTTGCGGGTGAAATAGACCAGGTGAGTTGAGGACCAGGTAAGCTTGACCGAGTGAATTAAGGGTGAATTAGCGCTCCGGGTGAAATAAGGATCGGGTGAACTGACCTGGTTTCCTTTGGAAGAGGAGGAGGGGCGCCAGTAACTTTGGAGGGGGAGGACGAGGAGCGCCAGTAACTTTGCAGGACCTTGACCTATCTGGGATCCCTGCTGCATCGACAACTCTGGGGCTCTACCTCGTTCCCAAGTCGCTATCAAGAGATCTGGCTGATTCTACTACGTAAGTCTGTCACTTCATCGAGCGCCTGCAGTCGCCAAGAAACGATCGGGCCCCACCGCGCCTCGCCTCTCACGCGGAGGGCCTTTGGGCGGGGTGGCACCTGCTAGACTGTCTTACGGCCACCTGTCATGCTCCCTCGGCCTCAGTCCTTACGCGAAGACGACGACGACCCGTCCCCCGCTCCCTCCTTCGGGCTTCGGCTCGGGGGGGCGCTGAATTATATATTGCAGGGTGCACGAAAGGGGCGGGGGCCTGGGAGAGGGGGCCCGGGAGAGGGGAGTCTTCCAGAATTCGCCATCTCTCTAAACCTGGCGCTGCTGGCAATGTCTGGAGGTATGATGTAAAAGGAGGTGCTGACCTCCCTGTCAAAACTACTACGCCTCTCACTGCGGACTCCCGCCTCGCTTCACCATTCATCCTATGTCCCTCTCGATCGCTCCCCTCGGTGCCGTCCCGCACATCCTCCTGGTCCCCGGCGCCCTCGACGCTGTCACGATCGCGCCGTACTCTGGGTTGAAAGTGAACTGGTCTCTCTCCTTTTCCTTCTCCTGAGCCGCCTTTCCCTTGTTTTTCTTGGCGCGAATGATAATGATGCTGGAGTTCGGCGTGTGTGTTTCGGCTTGCCTCGTCCTCTCGTTGTCTTAGTTCTTGAATGTTTGCTGCGCCCAGTTCGCCTTGTCCTGGCCTTTCTTCTGCATCACTTTGGACCACGCGATGTGGTGGGGCCGACCCAGGTCCACTTCCTCGTCCGTCTCGAACCTCTTCATGCGGTTCTGCACGTCTATGTTGTAGTCTGCGCCCTCTTGAAGCCCGTCGTTGGTCTCTGAGGCATCTGCGTCCCCCTCCCACGTCTCGATCATCGTCTCCGTCGCTTCCGCGGTCTCTCAGGCCGCGGTGAGCACGAGCTTCGCCATCAGCTTCGGCGTGTGGTCCTTGCTCTCGTTGTCCTGGCAGCCCTCTATGTTGTCGCTGCCCTTCAGCTGCGTGTCCGCTCTTCTCTTCAAGCTCACTCTCGCCGGTCTGTCCTCGAAGTTGTTCGTACGTCTGTGGGGTGCGAAATAAATGCCTGAGTAGGTGTGGGCGATACGCGTCTCATTCTCGCTCCAAAAGGCTGCCAATTGGACATTTCTTGTAGTAGGGCGTCTGCTCGAGCTGGTTTTGGGTCCCATCTCCCATGCAAAAAAAACTTGATCATCGATTTCGACGATTGCCGTCCTACTGTATGTGAGTATGTGGTTGGCTGCCTGCACTGGATGTTCTGCTTATTCGTGGTCAGGATCGCCGCCAAAATGTGGTGGTGCTTGAAGACGCCGTTCAATCCTGTGCTCGAAACTCGACCGCTCATCATCTCCCTCTTCCACTTGTACTGTGTGCCCGCTCGGTCCCGTTAGTGGCCTCCTTCCCGATAATACTTAAGTATGACCACCAGACGCTTCCCGAGTTCGTCGGAATTGCTTTGTTTCGCGTTCGCGAGCTGCCCCAGGTATCGAGTAGGTGGAAGTAGGTATCCTGGAGGTACTCGAACATGAAGTATTTGGGCTCCCCGACGGTATCCTCTCCACTCTAATCATGCTCCTGCCGACCTGTTCAGGTACTGTGTGTCTACCCATCCTGCATATTCATGCCGCGCGTCCTCCGTGTTCTCCTTGGTTGCCTGTATCCCCTGCCTCCTCCTCTTGGCCCCTGTGCCGTCTACGTTGTCGTAGTTGTCGCACTCCCTGTCGATATCCGCCAATCTGTCCTGACAGCAAGACAACGAGTTGAATTGTACGAGAGCCAAGCTGGTGGTCCATCTCTCAACAATGCAGACCAGCACCCTCATCGCTGGAATCTGAGTCCTCAGTACTTCGGAGTTGGCTTAGATTATGAAGAGAGCTGCCTGAACTGCTCGATGTGCGAAATGGCAGCTCGTAACTTTGCAGAAGGTGTAGGAGCAGGGGCGCTAGTAACTCTGGAGGGGGAGGAGGAGGAGCGCCAGCAGCCTTGGAAGAGGGGGGAAAGTGCCAGCAACTTCAGAGGAGGAGAGGGAGGAGGAGGAGAAGGATGAGGAGGAGGAGGAGGAGGAGCGCAGGTCACTTTATAAGAGAAGGAGCGCCAGGAAGTGTGGAGGAGGAGGAGGAGGAGGAGGAGGAGGAGGAGGAGGCGAAGGAGGAGGAGGAGGAGGAGGAGGAGGAGGAGGAGGAGCGCCAGCAACTTTGGAGGAGGAGGAGGAGGACGAGGAGGCCCCGGCTCCTGCAGCCGCGGCGCGCCCAGGCCAGCGGCGCCCCCGGGGAGCAGGCGCGCCGGCGCCGCGGCGGCGGCGCCCGCGGGGCCGCTGGCGGCGGGGGGGGCGTGTGCGCCTTCCCACGCTCAGCCCTGGCGACTGCCTCCTCTGTGCCCCAAAAAATGGTCGTCCCCCCTCGTCTTCGTTGGGACCCCCCAGACCGGGTGGTGAGATACCAGGTGGCGACCTGGAATCCCCAAAAAGGTCACCGCTGGGTTTGGGGACGCGGGGTCACCGGGTCTTGTGACTCCTGGACCCACCAGCGTCCGGGACATCCTCGGAAAACCGCACGAGTCCCCAAACCGGGTGGTGACACCAAATCGCCCGAGACTCACCGCCAGGTGTTGTCACCACCACGTTCCCAGACCCCCGACGTCATGATTTTTTCATGACTCGACCCCCAAAAGTCCCGACCCATTACCTGGGACCGGCTCTTCATCCTGAGTCGTTTTTTGACGGTCCCGAGGCCCGGCGAGGGCCCCCGGAGGCCGAAAATAGCAAAAAACCTCCCGTCGTGATTTTTTCATGACCCGAGGGGGTCTGGGTTTGGGACTACCAACTTCGAGGGAGGGCCACGTTCCCGAGCCACGCCTCGCGGCAGGGTTCCGTGGGTGCGCCGGAGCGCTCGGAGCGCCGGAGCGCCGCCTCCTGGACGGCGGCGCGCCGCAGGCCTTCCGCCGCCTGCGGCGCCTGGAGGCCGCCTTCGGGCCGGGGCCCGCCCATGGGACACATCCCGACACCCGCAGGAGAGCCCAGAATCGAATCGAGAAGTCGGATCGGCGATCGAAATGAATCGGATCGGCGGAAATCGGCAGCCGAGTCGGGAAAAGTCGAATCGGCAGACATCGGCAGGCTAGTAGGCCTCCAATAAGAAATCGGAGCCCAAATCGGAATCTCAAGTCGAATCGAATCGGGATCGGAAGCCATCGAAATCGAATCGAATCGAATCGGAGGAATCGAAACGAGCCCTGCACCCGGGGGGTGGGACTGTCCCCACGGGGTCGCGCGCCGTGGGCGCGGCGCACAGAAGCACTGAAGTGCCTAACCGGCCTCGGATGTATCCTCAAGATTGGCACGCCAGAGGTCGGCGGCGAGCGAGGGGGGGGGAGTGAGAGAAGGAGCAGGCCTCCTCAGAAGGCGGCGGGACTTCTCAGAAACATTCGCGCCTTCTGACAAGTTGTTTGCGTTGTCGGGGAAGGCTAGGACAAATCCTCAGACTGGCGGGGACGTCTGAGCCTTCTCAGAAGGCCTTCTCATTTCTCCCTGGGCTCGCCGCCGATAACCAGCCTCGAACGTATCTCTAAGATTGACACGCCAACAGGCGATGACAATCTTGGGGCTGCGCCCTCGAAAGCTGTGGGGATCCTGAAGATCCGCATCGAGATGAAACGATGCCAGTCGTAGGGACGGGGGTACGTTCCAGGCTGGTAGGTATCCGGGCCCTGTCACATCCCATGGGGCTCCGCAGAAACGCCACAGGACAACTTCTAATGTTTCACTTTCTGGCCAGCTCTCCTGGCGGCTGCTGGAACAAATGTATCCCCTGCGTCTGGGCCGCCATCTGCCACTGAGCGGTGGGCAAGCATAACATGGTATACTGAACATTTGCCGGGCTCTCCCCATCCACGAACGGCAAACATATAGGGCCCTCCCAGATGGGGTCGGAGGATCGCTCCGCATCGCCAATGCATCATCGATGCAACGGCACGGTCGGCGATGCATCGTCGCTGTCGGCGTGGAGACAATATAGCTCCACATCGAGCAGAAACGCCGATGAATCGGCGATGCGGCGCGATCCTCCGACCCCATCTGGGGGACCCCATTCTGCATTCTTGGAGGCGAAAGCGGGGCAGCGACCGCAACCCTTTTGATGGTGGCCGGGTAGTCAATCTTGCTCACTTTCACAGCGTTGGCCGCCCGGCAACATATTTGACGGCGCGGACTTGCTTTAGTTACATTGAGGCGTTTCGCCTTGACGGCAATGCCTTCCCCATCCACGAACGGCGAGCACATTCGTATCCGCGCCCTCGCGGTCTGGACTCCGGGGCGCGATCCCACGGACACACGGCCGCACGGATACGTTCCGCGCGGGGCATCTGCGAAAAAAACGCCCCGTATCCGCGGGGTCGCGGCCCAGGGGCGGGCCCGCGAGGCTGCGGATACGGATGTGTAGTTCGCCCACGGCTCAGCCTGCTCCTCCTGCTCTATCTCCTAGGGCTTCGGGTTGCGCCCAGACAGCTCCTCCCAGATACTCTCTCCTTTTCTTCGCCTGCCTCCCGTTTTTCCTCATCATTTTTGTCTCCTGCGGGAGATGGTAAATTGCCAGCTGAAGGATCGGCTACACATCGGCGCGGGAATCCCTTCGCTCCCTCCTCCCCCCCCCGTCCCAATCTCCCTCTCCCCTCATACCTTCCTCCCCTACTGCTCCCCCCCTCCTCCCCTCCTACCTTGCCCCCGCCCTTCGCTCCCTCCCCGTGCTACTGTCCAAATATCCCATCCCTTCTCTTCTCTTCTCTTCTCTTCTCTTCTATTGTCTTCTCTTCTCTTCTCTTCTCTTCTCTTCTCTTCTCTTCTCTTCTCTTCTCTTCTCTTCTCTTCTCTTCTCCTCCTCCTCCTCCCCCTCCTCCTCCTCCTCCTCCTCCTCCTCCTCGTCTACCTCCTCCCCCCCCCCTCCTCCTTCGCCAGATCTCCTCCTCCACCGGAGCATATTCCTCTTCCTCCTCCTCCTCCTCCTCCTCCTCATCCTTTTCCGCCTCCCCCTCGTTTTCCTCCTCTACCCTCCTCCTCCGTCATCGCCATCCTTCCCCCTCCCCTCCTCCCACGTCCCCCCTCCTGGCTCCCTCTCCTACTCCTCCTCCCCCTCCTCCGCCTCCTCCTACTCCTCCTCCTCCTCCTCCTCCTCCTCCTCCTCCTCCGCCTCCTCCTCCGCCTCCGCCCTCCCCATTCCTTCCTCGTCCCTTTCCCCTCTTCCCCGACGGCCCGCCTGCCGGCTTGCTGCCCGATGAGCGCGAGGTGCCCCTGCCAGCCGCCGGGTCCTGCTCCAGCGCGGGGGGGGGGCGAGGCATCGCTGAGCGCGGAGGCTGCTTAGCGGCACGGGAAGGGAGCGACACTCACGCGTGGCGAACGCATCCATGGAGAATATCTGTTGTTCGACGCGATGAAAAGGGGCATGATGGGGGGAGGGGGGGCATCACGTAACGCCCCGCCCCCCCCCTCGCGCCGTGTGGTCCGCACCACAGACTGTGTGGTGTCAGGCGCACTGCGGCCGTGCCGGGGACGCTGGGGAGGGGGAGCATCCCCAACATCCAACGCATTGATTTTTTCAATGCGCTGGCGGGCGCATTGAAAAAATCAAACAGAGTCCCAAAATCAATACGATTGAGAAAAATTGATACATGTTGCATCGAGCGTCCCCAAACGAAACGAGCCACCCCAAACGAAACGAGCGACCCCAAACGAAACGAGCGACTCCAAACGAAACGAGCGACTCCAAACGAAACGGGCGGTTCCAAACGAAGGGAGCGAATTCTCAGCGGTCGCAGGCCTACGGGCCGCGGGTCTAGGTAGAGCCAGAAGCTCCGCTACCAATTTGCGGGCGCGGGCCGCGCCCCGCTAGCCAGAAGCTCCCATGCCATGCGGGCGTGGGCACCGAGCCGCGCCCCGCTGGCCTACGGGCCGCGGCGCAGGCCTACGGGCCACGGGTCTAGCTAGAGCCAGAAGCTCCGCTACCAATTTGCGGGCGCGGGCACTGAGCCACGCCCCGCTGGCCCACGGGCCGCGGCGTGAGCAAAATATATTCCTACATGAGGGGATTTCCGAGGGGCACAAAATATGACGGCCGCAGGCCTCTTGCATGAGCCAGGGTCCGCGGGTAATGGCGGAAGACGCGGTGCAGTGCAATAAAAAAGGATGGTGTGGAAGGTGTGGAAGGGTCGTCGTTGTCCTCGTCTTCCTGTCTGTCTGTGGATGGTGTGGAAGGTGTGGAAGGTGTGGGAGGAGGAGCTCCTCCTGTCTGTCGTGGGCCACGGGTCGCACTGGGCGGCCAGGCGCTTAGAAGCTTCGCCCCGCAGAGTTCCTCTGCGCCCCGCAGATCCTGATCCTGATGTTCCTCCTCCTCCTCCTCCTCCTCCTCCTCCTCCTCTTCCTCCTCTTCCCGGCCTGCGCCCTCGGGCGGAGGAGGACGAAACGGAGGAGGAGGGGCGACGTGCAGGGGAGGATGAGGGAGAGCCGAGACGTCTCCTCCTGTGCCCTCGGGCGGAGGAGGAGCGAGGCGGAGGGGGAGGGAGGCGCGTGGCCAAACCTCCCGCAATTTTTTTTTCCAACCAGGCCCCCTCAGCAGGACCATTTTTCCGCGCAGGCCCTAGGTCCAGAAATACACAGCAGGAAAAAAAAAACAAGCTTGGAGGCCTGGAGCGGGTGGGCGGTCGCGCAGGCACGGCCCGCGGAAGCGGTCGCGGACGCACGCGCTGTTTTGCCTGTCGGCCGCCTCGGGGCACTGCATCTTGTGAATAGTCGGGGCGTGGGGCGAATGTGAGACGTGTGTGAAACATGTGAGGTGGAACAAGGGACGTGTGAAACATGTGAGACAATCGAACGCCGCGCTGCAAGAATACACAATATGATGATCAAACTCGTCTTATTTTCGATGTCGTCGCCCCCCACCTCGGGCTTAGTGGCCCGCGCCAGCACGGTGTCGACCGACGTTTGCGGCCCTCTCTGGTTCCTCCCCCTCTCGTCGTCGCCCCTATATTTCCTCCCCTCCTCCTCATCCCTCCTCTTCCTCCCTCCTCTTCCCTCTCCCTCCTCCCTCCTCCTTTCTCCTTCCTCCGTCATCCTCTTCATCCTTTTTGTTTTGCTGCAACAAATGTGTATATATATATATATATATATATCGATCAGCAGGTCTCAGGCAAGACGCGCTGAAGAAAGCGCACGTAAAAAGTCTTGCCCCCGTGCAGCACTTTGGCCACACGGGACATGAGCCTGTTTTCCTGCTCATCGGCGTAACACCAATATCTTATTGGGTTGCCGTGAGATGCGCAGCGTTCAATTAAGTGAAAGGCAATGTGATGTTTAAACACAACACCCTTGCCAATCTTACATTTTCTCGTCTTGGGGGCCCACGCCTTCCAGTGCACCAAGAACCTAATCATGGCTCGCTGAAGGGATCTAATGGAAGAGGCAGTCATCGTCCTCGGTTCTCGCTCCATCGTCTGCTGGACTTCGACGAGCGCGTGCGTTGCTGTCTGCAGAAGGTGCCCTTTTGGTCCAAGAATGCCGAGGTTCTCGTCCACGAGGTCCCTGGCGAGGGGAAGCAGGTGTCGACTCTGGGCAGCTTTGGCCAGAAGCCTGCCCGACGAGATTTGCTTGTACTTGAGTCTGCCGATCGTTGACTGCTTCCCTCGAGGCCGCTGGGCCTGCGTCGACGCGTAGAAGCTCTTCATGCGCCTGCGCAAGTGGGCCACGTTGTCGTTTCTGCGGAAGTCGAGGAGGCGTCTCGTGCTCCTGCAAAAGTTTTTGGCCACGACTAGTTTGAACACAGCGCCCACGACGTACTGAGTCACCCCCAAGTCCAGCACGCGCATGCAGTCTAAGTGCACGTTCTGAAAAGAGAAGCCTCTGATTTGGAATAAAGGACATGTGGCATTCAACCCCATATTGATGCTGCAATCAAAAAAAGTCAACAGCGCTGGCGTCTCGACCTCTCCGAGCGCATGAACATCTTGGATCGAATCTGCTTCAATAAGGCGATGGCCACGAAACAGCCCCAGCTCAGGAACTGCTCGCATGACCGTGAAACCACCGAATGTCTCGTCCATCGCCATCGCTGCAAGAAGCGTTCGAAGCACACCTGGAGTCTCGACTCTTACTTTGACCAACGATCTTTGCACCATGATGTCGTACGCAGCATTGTCCCTGAGCGGCCAAACAGAAGTCTCGACAGTAGCAGGGTAGACGTGAAGCTGGTCTTTCCCCGCCCCGCAGCAGAAGCACGGGTTCAGAATATTCTGGTGATTCTTCAGCCCTAAGGCTTGCGCGATCTCTAACAGATCTGCCCGAAATTCCGTTAACGCTCCACACCACCCTTCTGCCAAATCGAGCCCGCGCTGGGCGGCGCGAAGGTCATCATGAAATGGCCGACCAGCGTGATCCAAGGCAGGGTATATTCCATCAGCTAAACAGTTGAAGCTCCAGGCGATTGTTCTTTGAATATTACCTATCGAGCAGAAGCCCTTGCAACCGCAGCGACAAACGTCGCTTTTGCGAATGGAACATATTAAATACCGCTTGCCGCTGACCCCGTTCGGCATATAAAATGCGATGAAGGAATCAGTTTTGGTGTGAGGAACGCCGTCACTAAAGAAACCGACAGGGCTGGCTTTGCCAGGGTTGGCAAGCACAACCTCGTGAGAACTGAAAGAGGGCGAAAGCGTCCTGATGTCGACCGAAGCAGGGCCCCAGGCCTTAGGGTCGGCACGCCATGCCTCTGCGTACTGCTCGTGGGGCAGGTTCATCGGGAAAGGGATCACCGTTCTGGTCTCAGTTTCTTTATCGTAGACTGGAAGCTGGATCGTGTAGAAGGCCGATCTGGAACGGGCTGAGATAGCCCTTCGTAGGAATTATGCCTGGTGCGTGCTTTCGGGCGCCAGCGCCAGATCACCGACTCCGCGCCCGCCTGCTCTAGTCACGTGCCAGCAGGTCGTGCAGACTTGGACAGCGGTGAGGGCGCCGCTCTTGTAAGATTCCAGCAAGTACCGACGAAGCCCATCCCCATTGTCGACGTTCGGTATGCCACCGCTGTCTGCCTCCACGTGGAGTTCGGCAGCAGCTGCTCGAGTGGCCATGGCGAGCCAGATTTTGGACACCCGAATGGGTACCGAAAGAATGGGCACAATGCCCAAAAAGCAACAGCGGCCGCTGTTGGGCAGGCGGATAGACACAGGCCGCGGCGGCGTGAACAGCGAATCCTGTTCAGAATGAACAGGAACGCACTGCTGTTGGACATCGAATTCTTTCCGTGCCCATCTCGGGCGTCCAGACAGATCGATGCGCTGGATGCGTGAAAGCACGGCCAGACCACCTAAACGCGCGCGCTTGAGCCAAACTGGCGGCTATGGGTCGAGGTTGGAGGTTGGGGAGGGGCGGGGAAGGCTTGGAGAGGGCCCTACGGTGCGGGCCCGTTTCAGATCTCGGCTAGCACGCTGATTAGGCTTGCGCGCCTGGTGCCGCCTGCCTCCTGACGACCGGCCTCTCCGCAAGAGCACTGGCGGACCGAAGGGGCGGGCCGAAGGGTGGGGAGGTGCGTGCACTGGGACGGGGGGCACGTTCGAACAATGGCAATATGCTGATCGGCACACCGTGCACACTGCAACTCCGAGCTCCCTGAGCAGCATTCTCCTCCTGCGGTGCTGCGCGCCAACAACAATGAATGCTGAAACAGAAGGTTCACAAATTCAGGCACCTCGGGGGAGTTGAGCCCCCTCCACCTCGATCGACCCTGCGGCACCGCTTCGGTGGCGACCGATTTTTTTTCATATGGCGAGCCGCGCTGGAGCGCGCCAGCGCCCCCCGATCGGGGCCCCTAAGGAGCCCAAGGGGGGGCCTTCGGCCCCAGCCCAAAGAGGAAAGGGGGGACTCCGAAGGCGGCGTGTTTTCCCTGAGCCCAAAACGGGGCTCACCCGCCTCGACCCTCCTCTTCCTCCCCTCGCCCTCCCCCTCCTCTTCCTCGCCCTCGAGTCTTCCGACTCCGAGTCCAACTCTTTCGACAGCGCTGATCATCATCATCATCATCAGCATCATCATCATCATCGTCATCGTCATCATCATCATCAGCATCATCATCAGCATCACCATCATCATCATCCTCATCATTATCATCATCATCAGCATCATCAGCAGCAGCATCATCATCATCATCATATGATCGTGTCCACCTTGCCCCCATCTGCCCCCTCTTATACTTGGCAATCTGAAGGGCCCGCTCTCCCTCGGATCCACGCAGCAGAGCACCCTGGACCGCAATGACGCACACTGG